CGCCGGGACCGCGGACGATCACCGGCAGAATCTGGAGCAGCACGCTGGTACTGGTCTGTCCATTGGTGGCGCCGACGTAGTTTTTGTCGGCATCGTAGGCTGGTGTTGTCGCTGGGCGTGGCTTGAACAGGCGAGGGGCGCCATGGAGGAGCGAGTGGTGTCGCGCCTTGCAGTCCGGGACAGCATCACACGGTGTTCTGTCGGGGCAGTCACGCGCTCGATGTCCGCGCTGAAGGCACACCCAGCACAGACCCTTGTCCCTCACTAGTTCAGCTCTTTTGTCGGTCGAGTTGGTCGCAAATTGGGGGCACTTAACCACCGTGTGTGGGCCACTGCACTGCTCACACGGATTTGTTGGCTGTGCGGCCTGCTGCCGTGCAGACTTGGCCGTCACTGTCAGCACGTTGCGCCGGGGGCGAGTGGCAGGGGCTGAGACGGGCTTGCCGTGTTTCGTCGGACTGACGTCCTCTTCTGCAGCGACCAATCGGCCGGCGTCGACGTGCCTTCTGAGCCACCTATCCAGGTCGACCAGAGTCGGGGCGGCCGGTCGAAGGGTCATGGCGTGCTCTCCCCAGCGCCATGACAGGGCACGGGGCAGCTTGGCCACGACCTGCTGGAGGTTCGCAGTCGCTGCTAGGTCGGCGTCGTAGCTGAGTGAGCTCAGCACCATCACTGCGCTGTGCAGGGCCGTCGATAGGGATCGTAGTGAGCTGAGATCGTTGTCTTTCGTCGGTGGCACGGTCAGCAGTCGGTTCATGGCAGCACGAACGACGTGGCCGGGGTTGCCGAACTGACGCTCCAGCTCACTGAGCGCCTCGGTGTACATGTCTGCATCGCAGAGCAGACCGCTGACCGCCTCTCGGGCCTCACCGGTCAGACACGACTGTAAGTGAGCCAGCCTCTCCGTGTCGGTCAGGCCCCGGTGGTTGTGCACCAGCGCTCTGAAGAGTGAGCTCCAGCGGGGCCATTCCAGCGGCGAGCCGCTGAACTGGTCGAGCTTGAGCTTCGGGAGCGCCGAATCCGTGTGATGTCTCGCTGGTCGGTCGTCCGACCGCGGCCTGTCGGAGAGCTGCTCGATCCAGCCAAGTGTCCGCTCTCTAGTGACGTCACTGGGCGGGCTCGGCGCGACCGCTGAGGCTCCCTGACGAAGGAGCGCCGACTGGAACTGGGAGGGCGCTCTGCTCTCCCCGTCATGCTCCAGTGCTTCCTCCTCGAGCCTGAGCTCCAGCTCATTCAGCTCGGCCTCGTCCCGGGCAGCCTGAACCTGGGCAGCCGCCTGAGCGGTGGCGGCTCTCTCCACCTGGGCTACCTTGAGCCTGGCGAGTTCGGTCTTGATTCGCAGTTCGTTGATACGCGATGCCGATGACGTTGCCGAACACTCCGCCTCGCTGCGGGTTTCGGCCTTGCTTGTTGCTCGCCTCTCCGACCGCGTGCTCATCACTGCAGTTCGTTGTACACTGTTCCGAACACTAGTTCGATAGTATCCGGCCCGGAGGACCAATTTGTTCCCGACACAGTCGCACTATGCCGGTAACAATGTTCGTAGAAGAGTTTTAGATAAGAGTTTATTATAAAGGGCCGAAATCAAATCACTTGCCGATAAATGTAGAAATAGCTTGAGAAGAAAAACGAATATCCGGCCGATACCGGTGCGTCGGGGTGGCAGCACACCGTCGAGAATTCGTGGGTGCGCCGCAGCCGCACCCCTTCGCCGAACGACCAGGAGCACAGGGACTGAGGCGCGACACTGTGCGCCTCTTTCGGTCCCGTCGAGGTACTACGAGCACAGGGACTGAGGCGCTCACCGTGCGCCTCGTTCGGGTCCCGTCGTTGCACTGCTATCACACGCACAGCCGCCGGCTTTTAACCGACGGGTGAAAGCGAAAGCACAGTATACAGGTCAGGAAACGAAAGCAAAAGTCATTAGAAGTGCCTCTAGCGCCGAGTAAAAGCGCAGAGTAAAAACACAAACAAGTAAAAAGTAACAGTTGTCTGGGGCGTGGCCGCCGCTCGGACCGGTAGCACCACGGACCGGTTTCGTCGGTAACACTAGACATACCGCATATAGATAAGTAATGCCTGGGTCTGTAACCTATACTGTTACTGTGTCTTGGATAAGTGACAAAAAGAGAACACTAAGCAGTAGCTGCCTGGATGCCGTCCCTTTGTTGGTGATAATGCTGACGTTTTCTGTCGTAGCCCGCGCCGGCAGACGACCATTAGCCGATGGCTGGTGGATGAGCTGGAACCGGTCACTGTTCTGTCTCTCTGTGTATGTCTCAATGCGCGGCGCTGCGGCTCATTACCCTGTGCCGCTGCCACCTCGGGGGTCGGTGGGGGGTCGTGTCGGACCCGGGCGGCACGACGAGCCGGCATTGTTGGCGCTCGGGGACCGGCACCGCTGGTAATGGCACGGGAGAGCGGCACACGGACCACGGCCAGACTGCCCAGTGTCCACCGATGCGCCGTGCTGGGGCTGGTGCCCGCCTCTTGGTGGCTGAGCTGTTAGAATCCCTCCCCCCCCCCCCATCCCAGTGGGACATGTCGATACTTTAACGATCAGATTCATGGCGAACTCACTGTCAATATCCTAAGATAAATAAACTTACGCACATTGGGCACCGGTATAAAGAGCACGGGATAAGGTGAATTTTATTGTGGGGTGTTCCGCATCACTATGGTGCATTTCAGAACACAGTAGCCATTTTCACGACGGAACATTATGCATCGACCTATTCCTTTGATCCGTTTGGTGCATGATAAATTTTAGTAGCTGTTTTCTAGTACGGTTTTCACCCTTCAAATGAACTGTTGATTGCACTGCTCCTTTGCTTTCAAATTCAATCAAATACCTAGGCAAGAGCCCAATGTTCCGTCATAAAAAGGGATATTGCATTTAGACGCTCTATCGTGTACCTAACGAGGTCTGTTATCACTTTGTTACTTTTAGTCAGCACGACCCTAATAATGGCAAGCTTTGTGAAACTTTTCAATAACTAGAAGTAATATAAACGTTTACTTTCCTGCATAAGTCTGTTAAATCTGATGACTGTCGTCGAGCCTAAAGGCCGCCCCACACTGAACCTCGCATGCGGTTGCGAGTTTTTGGGTTTTCGTGTTTCTTCAAAATTAAATGATACAATCTAAGCTGAGTGACCCACACTACTATATAACAAGCGAGTCTGCATGTTTTTAGCTTGCGAGCCACCTATAGCATCGCAATCCAAAAGTTGATTTTGAGTCAACTTTCGATTTTCCTCGCTGCGAGGTCTGCGAGTTCTGCGAGGTTTGCGGGTTTTTCGTTGGAGTCGAATTTTGGTTCGTTGCGCTGGTATTGCGACTATATGTAATTTTCTGAAGGTGTACCGGCTTCACTGCATTCATGAAGTTACCATAAGGGAACGGTCTTATCACTCTATGAATTAGGATTATGTCCGCAAACTCAAAACCCGCAAACTCGCAACCCGCATGCGAGGTCCAGTGTGGGGCGGCCTTAAGAGGCTGCCTTGCACCAAAATAAAACGAAACATTACATTTAGGCGGAAGATCACGTCCGTGATCGGATGTATTCGATACTCATCGCCGCCGGAACCATTCCATGCAGGATGTAAATTCTAAACAAAACACGCCATGTGTTTTTATTAGTCTGTCTCTAACCACAAACATGCTATCTTACGAGCATGTCTCTACGAGTATATGGTTTTCTTATAGATATCCTTAGTGTCCAGGTATGATTCCAGACCTATTACGCGGCATTGAGTTAAGTGTATCGTGATCATTGATGATCAGGCATAGATGAAATGGAATGACTACAAGACGTCATAAAGATATGCACACATTTGCATGCAGAGGATCCTCTCCCAGATTTAGTGTTGGCGATTTTCTTGGCATGAAGACAGACCATTCGGCGAGAGCGCATGGCGTTTTCACTCGTTGTTTTATGTAGCGAGATGATACCTTGATGTCTGTGTGAAGCCCGTGGCAAAGATAATGAGGGGTGTGAGTTGCAATTTAGTGCCCACTTCTCTTTATTGTCGTAACATCTGCAGCCGAGCTCCGGGAAACGTCTCCGTTCGGGCTCTCGTGTCGGCCGGCATACCATCAATTTTCTATTCCGCCCGGTGACTTGGTCAGGTTATGGCGGCCATATTTACCGCGGCCACGTCACTGGGCCCAGCCCCGATGGCGTCGTGATACCCGCCGAGCGCCTAATTATCCGACAGCCATTTCTCCTCGGCTCTTTTGACATCCCGGAGATCGGGCGAAATTCCGGTCCGTGTGTCATCGCGCGGCGTCTGTTCAGCGGTCGCCGTCAGAGCGCGCTCGTAATGAAGCCAGCTGTGCTGATTGGCTGATGAGTCGATTATCGATGGCCGTGATCCGTCTCCGGGTGACAGTGAACAGGCCCCGCTCGCTGGCCAGGTGACCGAAGGCCAACAAATCTCCCTGAGGTTGCATCATCTGAGGTTCGAGAGCAGCTGTCGGTACTGCGCCTGAGACTGTTTCTTTGTCTCCGAGGGTGTCGCCGGCTGTCCCAGTCAGTGTCTCTGTCACTGCAGGCTTATTTCGATCTCGAGTCGCCACCTGAGATCGCCGTTGTCCTTTGCATAGTGACCCAATCTGCGGGAAGTGAGCGGACTGGTAGACGATGTCACAATCTATGTTGCTAGCGTAGTAGAGATTGTTCAGTGATAGGTACAGACATGTGCATGACTTTGGGCTGTAACCTTCCACTGTTTCTTTTAGTTTGTTTCCGTGGCTACATAATCCTGATTTCGATTGTTAGCGTATCGTGCAACGTAGGAAATAGATGTGTTCGTTGGAGGAAGACGTTCCAGTACCTCGTGGCGCCTTTAATTTACTCCCGGTCTGACTGAGTGACTCCGTTTCGCTTTTCCCGATGTTATTCATTCTATCCGTTTTATCTGTTCATTCCCTTGGTATCCATAATGCCTTGTACGCTCTGCAACCACTCTGCTCACTGGGTCTTACAACAGAACCTGCATCCATCGTACATTTTATTTATATCATAACAATGCGAGACACGACAACGCCGTTCGTTAAACCATCGATTCACCTCGCACCTCTAGTTGCCTCCAGCCTAATAAGGATAACGTCTGAGATGCTCCACAAAGCAGATGAAAAAGGGAGACGGAGGAAAGAATAAATAACCTTCAACAAAATAAACTCACCGAGAGGACAGCTCAGTCAACCAATCAGTCATCACAGCAGATCAAACTTATTCGTATGGAAGGCCTGTTACGTATCTATATATCGACATTAAGGACTACATCAGACATCCTACGATGGAGCTCACATATACCAAGTAGCTGCGCGGAGTAAAGCTTCACAGGCGGAGACTTTGAACGCCTCCAATCAAGTCATATTTTACATAGCTACACGCTTGACTGCACTCCGCGCGCAAAGAAGCTTTGATTTCTCGGCAGCGAGCTCCACACATTCACCGAGCGGGGCTCGCGGGGCGGGCCGCGGCCGATTAGCACTTCCTTATGGCTTTGTACGTATCTCACTCGCGTTTATAAACAGCTGCAAGTCTGTTTGCAATGCCACGGGGAGGGTGACGCGGCGCTGGCGACGGCGCGCGCGCCGCTCACATAGATTATTGTAATAGTCACATACTCGCCGCCTCGAAGCCGCCACATTGACCTATCCACTAACGATGATGATAACAACCATGTGATTTGATATCGGCTCGTGACGCGCCGCGGCCGCCGTCGGCACGCGCTGGCCGCACGGGGAGATCACCGCGACTGGGGGCTGGGCGGCGCGCGCGCGGCCGACCGGTTGGCACTGAGGGGCCGGCTGCCGGCGGCCGGGCCATCACGACACCTTGGCCAGCGTCTCGGCGCCGCTCTCCTTGATAGCCGGCGGCGAGCTGGGCGACGGCGAGCGCGAGTGGTGCTCGCCGCCGCGCGCCAGCCGCGCCTGGTAGCCGGCCGCCAGCGCCGGGTGCATCAGCGACTGCAGCAGCATCGGGTGCGGCCGCAGCGGGCCGCCGTCGGCCGCCGCGCCGCCGCCCGGCAGCGACAGCGGGAACAGGCCCGGCTCGGCGCACAGGCGCGCCAGGTACTCGCTGCCCCAGGCGGCCGGGAAGCCGGGGAACGCGCCGGCCTCCTGCGGGCCGCCGCCGGCAGCCTCCGAGGAGGTCGACAGCAGCTTGCGGTGCAGGTTGTAGTTGGAGCTGTGCCGGTCGCGGCTGCGCTTCGACGGAAACTTGGCCTTGCAGCCCTCGATGGTGCACTTGTGCATCACCTTGAGGTGCACGTTCTGGTAGTGGGTCTTCACGCCGAAGTGGTTCTGGAACATTTTACCGCAGACCACGCAGCGGCGCGGGTTCTCCTTGTCGATAGGCACATCTGCGCTGCTGCAGTAGCCATCCTCGAGGTGGTTGGGACTCAGCGACGGGCTGACGGAGAAGGACGAGCCGCCGTCCGAATGCTCGTCGTCCTCGTCGCGCGTGCTGTCCGCCGCGTCACCGGCGCCCTCCGACGCCGCCGACAGGTTCATAGGGTTCAGCCCCATGGGCAGGCTAGCTAGAGGATTACCTGGCTGGCCCATGGGGCCCTTGGCTAAAAAATCATCGAAGTTACCCTTGGACAAGCTCTCTAGCCGTTTGAGTGCATCAAAGCTCTGCTGCTGATGGTGCTGCTGTTTCTCGTTCTCCGCTTCCTCCTCCTTCTGCTCTTTCTGGCTCTCCGCCGGCTCAGCGGCATTCGTGGAATCCCCATCGTCGTCACCGGCCGCCGAGCCGGGCCGCTCAGACAGCGGCTCCGGCTCGGGGCCCTGGCCGTTTTTTGGCGATGACTCGGTAACTGTCTCGGACTCGGGCTGTGACGCCGCGAACACGGGGAAGCTCGGCTTGGGCTCGGCCTCGTCCTCGGCCGTGCGTTCGTCGCCGCTATCGTCGTCCGACTTGAGGTTCTTCAGCTCTTCGTCATCATCGTCGTCATCCTTGTCGTCATCATCGTCTGGAAGATCGTCGAGTGACGAGTCGTCGGACGACATGTGGATATCGTCCTCGTCGATCCGCACAGAGAATTTGATCGGGTTCTGGCTCTTGCGCTTACGCTTGCTCTGCGGCTCTTGGCCGTTGACGCGCGTCTCGCCGTTAACGCTCTGATTGTCGACGCTGCCGTCGTCGTCTGCGACTGTGCTGCGCTCGTCGTTGGAATCGGAGCGGTAGCGTTTGCCCGACTCGTCGTCGCGCGCCTCGAGCAGTCCGCGCCGCCGCATCTCCTCCTGGTACTGCTCCAGCCGGCGACTCATGGTGGCGTTCATGTCGCCGCCGACGCCCGGCAGCATGAGGCCGGCCGGCGAGCGCGAGTAGCTGGCCAGGTCGAGCGTGTTGAGCGAGCTGTGCAGCGACTCGAGCGCCTGCTTCTGCAGCTCGGGGCTGGGCAGCAGCGGCAGGCCGGCCAGCGGGTTGAAGCCGCCCAGCAGTCCCGGGTGAGGGAAGTTGGGCGTCAGCGTGGGCGGCAGGCTGATGGGGCCGTGCGCCTGCGACATGCGGCCGTCGTGCGGAGAGATCTTGCGCCGCATGTGCGGCGTGTGCAGCTTGGGGTTCGGGTTGGCGCTGTGCCGGTTCCGACTGCGACGAGAGCTGAACATCATCGTGCAGCCGTCCACCGAGCACTTGTGCATCTCCTTCAGGTGCACGGCAGAGAAGTGGATCTTGAGCGCGCCCTTGTCACAGAACGTTTTCAGACACGCGTGACATTGCACCCGCTTTTTGCCGGTCACCGGGTTGACTAGCGCGGTCGGGTTGGGGCCGATCGGGTCCCACTGACCGCGCCGCTTCACGGGCGTCATGGACTTGCGGGCGTTCTTCTCCAGGGCCTGCTCCATACCGCCGGAGGAGAGGTTGAGCGCCGCCTGTGCCTGAGCGCGCGCCTGAGCCTGTGCCTGCGCCTGCGCCTGGGCTTGTGCCTGTGCCTGTGCCTGTGCCTGAGGATCCGGCCGACCGGCGCTCGTCGTCAGGTTGACGGCGCTGGAGGCAGGCGGGCCGGCCACCGACATGGGCTGTGAGTGTGGCGGAGGCGGCGGGGGCGGGGCCGGGGCGCCGCTCACCGCCGGCCGAGACAGGTCCAGCGACCCGTCCGGGCTGCGCCGCTCGAACGGATGCATGCTCTGCAGCTTGTTCAGCGGCGACAGGGCGCTGGCCGTGCTGGCCGGGGGTGGCTGCAGCGGCTGCGGCGGCCCGAACGCGCCGTTGCTGGCGCTGGAGACGGGGAACGGCGCGGCGGGCAGCCGCAGGCCGGGCAGGCAGAGGCCGGGCTGGTGCAGCATCTCGGGCCGCAGGAACGGCTGCACCCGCTCCACCAGCTTCTTCATGTCGGGCTCGAGCGGCGGCTTCTTGCCGTCCTTCTCGTCCTTCTGCATGAACTTGAACGCGATCGGGCGCGTCTCCTCGAAACGCATGAACTGCTGCAGGATGAAGGGCTCCTCCTCCGGGCTGCATTTGGTAAACGCGGCACCGTCCTGAAACAGCAAGAAACAGCCACGTCAGAAAACCGGTATGGCACAAGTCACAACTCCTGCGCGTTGACAGATACTGGGCTACTTTACAAGTTGTTCATGTTTGGTGTCTGGTCAGACGCAAGTCAGTTATCCAATAACGTAAAAAAATACAAGACAGGCTCATTTAATTACAACCAGCACACACTGGGAGGCAGTGACCCGTCGGCTCAGATGACCTTTACGACCCGCCCAGGTGACCTTTCGGGCACACATCTGCGCCTGGCGCTCACCACCCCTGCTGCGCCTGCCAAACGGCATCGCAGTGGTTTCACCCGGCGCCTCTGGAGGCCTGAATTTCGCGGCGAATCAACCGCACATCCGGGCCTGGCATCACTGGGGCCGCGCTGTTTACGAGGAGTCACTTTCGTCACCCAGCCACCAGTTTCTCGGCAGGGGCGGAATTCATGGAGACACTCCACGCCCCGCCCCGATCGGTCCGAGATACGGGCCGGCGTCCGCCTCCAAATATGGTCGGGAACAATGCCTGTCGTTCCAGCCCGGTCGCCAGGCCGGGTATTTTGGACAGCTACTCCCGAGCTGAAACGGACCCGGATCGAGCTGAAGGCGACCCGTCGCCGCTAAGCCGCCGGCGTCGGGTCGTTCAAAGTGGTCGCTCGCAGCCCTCGTGTTTGTTCTGGAACGTTCCTGACGTCGCCGGGTGCGCCGAGCCGCTTGATTGGACCGAGGTCGGCGGCGGTGCGACACGACGAAAGGCGGCGCCGTCGCCATTTTGGCCGCCGCAGGTGCGGCAAAAATATCGCCGAGCTGCGGCACGTTCCTGCCGGGCGCGCGGTGGTCGAACAGCCGTCCGGACGAGCCGGGGGCGGCGGTCGGGCCAACAGCTGCCCGCGGCCCGGCGCTATCAGTCTCCGCCGGCCGCGCGAGTGGCTCCGATTGTATCGGCAGCAGCACCGATAAATACCGGCGGCACACGCGCGCTCCGCACCTGCCGTCGATCACGACGGTCCCGGCGCGCCGCCGCCGACGCGCCAAAGTCAACAGTTGACTGTAGAGCGGCGGGTGGCGGCGGCGGTGCGGTGGAACGTCTCGGTAATGTGCCCTGGGTCACGGCCAGGTCAGACTCATCAGCCGAGAGGTGATCGCGCAGGACCAAGCGGTCACCAGCGCGCTGCGGCGCGTGACGGCTCGACAAAAATGGCGCTGCGCCGCGCCGCGGCGGTGCGATACCGCTGAGTCTAATAGCACGGTGTCACTGGTGTGGTCAGGTGATTAAAGCGGCGATTAAAGCAGCGGATGGCGCCCAAAGCGGGCGTCGACAGCACGCCGACACCTCGAGCACGGCCGTGCGCCGCTGGGCGTGCCCTGGCGTGGCCCGCTGCCACCCCGCGCCCCGGCGCCGTGCCACCCCGACCACCCTGAGGAGCCCGCTCCACATACCACGCTCAGATCAAAGGAGACCGCCCCTCCGCCGTGGCCGGCCGGCCGGCGCAGTCGATCGGGTCATTTATCATATCTCACCGTGGAGACAGTGGCCTGGGCGGCCGCCGCCGCTGCGCAGCCGGTAATTGACAACTCCCCCAAAACTCGGTAATTACAGCCCGGCTGATTGCCGCCGGAGAAATAGTGCCAACTGTCATTAGGCAAAACTGTTTGGAGCTTCCTCTCCGGAGCAATCGGTCATTACAGAGGAATACATGGAAATTGCTTACTTATTGGCGCAGCTAGGATGTTTATGCATCATGCGCCTCAACAGGTGGCGGCCGGTGGTTCGTGGGTCGCAATTATCCATTACCGTTCGCACATACATTAGCGACGTGGCCGGACCCACAGCGGCGCGTCCGGCCGGCGCGGCGCGGCGGCGGTCGGCCGTGGCGTATGACGGTCGTGCCGCTGGGGAGTGGTGTCTGTCCTTGCCGTTCGCACGGCGTCACGAACAGTGCACTCGGCCGACACGCACCGCCGCGTCCGGATGGAGGCGGTGACGGGCCTTGGTGGCGAGCGGGTGTGCTACAGTGGGTTTGATCACACGACTGGAGAGACAGTCGCGCTGGGTGGCCGAACGATATCTCGGAGCTAACAGCGGTGGCTAGTGATCGGAGGGCGCCGATCGTCCGGTCACGTCCTCCCGACCTGACATGAGATCGCTCTGTATAACTGAGAATCGGCACCACCCACTGAAAGCGAGAGAGGGGAGAGAGGGGGAGAGCAGCGCCGCCGCGGGCCGGCAGGTCAAGGCTGGGTATTTCTAGCTATCCGACCGTATCATTGCCGGAGGGCCATCGCGGCGAGAGCCAGGCCGAACACGGTCTAACGACCAAATCGGGGCCGGAGTGGGCCGGCGACGTCGCGCCAGTGTGGTCCGTTGGTCCGCTCCTGGTCACCTCGGACCATCTGCGGCGCTGGGCGGTATCTGGTCTCCGTGGGCGTCTCAGAAGGCCATCAGGGCGGCGCCGCGACTGCCGGGACACGGGCGCCGCTCGCAGTGGCCCATCGGCGCACGATCTGTCCTGCCCCCTCCGCCCACCGCCGCCGCCGCCGCCCCGCCGCGCGCTACGTACCGCCGTCCCATCCTCTGTCCGGCTTTGTGGCTCGCCCCATGCGGCGCCACCGAACCCTTTGTGACCGGCGACGGGGGGCCACCGCAGCCCTCTCGCCACCTCGCCGCCCCGCTGAGCGCACGTGGCCGTCGGCCGGCCGGCGGGCGCCCGCTGGGTGCGCCCGCGGCGCCCCCAGCTCCGTGTCCCCAGCGTGCCGCAGCGTCGTTGTGCGTCGGCCGGCGGCGCTGTCCGACCGCCCAGCCGTCATTTAATAAGGTCGGCGCGCCGCGCGGTAAGAGGTTGCCGCCCGCCGGCGCTGCCGCCGGCCGCGGCTAATGGTCGGCTGGAATGCGGGCCGGCCGAGATGATGGCGTCGATGACACGGAGACCGCAGCGCACCGCCACACTGTCTGTGCTGCGCCGGAATGTGCCGCACCGCCGGCGGGTCGGCCCGGACAATTACCGGCGACCGGCCGCCGCAGACGGGCAGGCGCTCCGCCGCGGAGCACAGAGACAGACGGACAGACGGACAGACGGGCGGGCATGGATCATCGACAGACGGGCCGGCGCGGCCGCGGAGCACTGACAGACAGGCGGGCGGCTCAGCGACCCAGCCTCAGCCCATCAGACTAATCAACCATGGGTCGCTTTATCCAAAAGCTACATCGCTATATCTCAGCTATATCCAAAACGCACATCACCTCGCCAGCCCAGGCGACTAAGCTGACCTTTTTCTGACATGTCCCAGGTAGCACAGTGAGTCACTTTGAGTCACATGTTCCCGTCTTGTCTACACAACTCTCGTCTGACACAGCCAGCCATGTGACGCCGTGAGTCACCGCGGTGTGTCATGTGTGTCGATGTTCTGTTCCTGTCACGACTCGGGCTGTCATCCTGACCTGTCAACCGGCGCCTGACATCCGGCCGACAGCCGCGCGGTGGCTCTGGTCCGGTCGTGTGTCGGCTCAGTGGTCGTTTGGCTCGCCTCCGGGTGGTTTGGCAGGAGGCCGATCGCCCATCATTTGCTGCCGAGCCAGGCGGTGGATACAGGCACGGAGAAAGGGAGGGGAGACCGCACAGAGACTGACATGGAGGGACGAGAGAGTAGAGACGGAGACGTAGACGGTTAAACACCCGGATAAAATAAAATCGGAAGCACCAGCCTCGCTCGAAGATACGTTTTGTCCAGTGGCTCGCGTCGGAGTCACATTTGACAAGGACACCTCTCCAGCCCCCGTCAGCCGCCTGTGTCATATTCACGGCCACAGGCGGCCTCAGGTAATAAGTCTGTCGCTCAGGCGCCCGAGACGTGAAGGACATCTGGGAGCGTCTAATTATATAAATTAAACATTCGGCCCACAGTCACCGCCGGTGAAAATGCAAGTAATCATGCGTCGAGCATGCCCTCTCAGAAGTAATAATTTAACGAAGTAACCATAGCCTGTTCACCTGCGCTGCTGCAGCCTACTGCACGGTCTGATATAGCGTCTGGCTGCCCTGGCGACTGCCCGACCGCCCGACCGACGACCGACGACCGACGACCGGTCGGCGCGCAGAGGAGAGCCGCCGTATTGATTCGGTCGGCGGCAGAGGTGACGGAGCCGAGCCAGGTCGCCGCCAGCTGCCCACTGCAGGGAGCTGGCTGCCACCGGACGAGAAACAGGGCGCCGCTGACAGCGACCCGCCGGGCGCGGGGGACGGGTGGGGCTGAGCCTGAGCAATGAGGTGATCCTAGTCGTGGTGACCTGTCCTCACCCCGCCTACTCATATGTACAGCAGCTCCAGCGCCTGCTACTGCAGAGTATTACGACTGCCCCCGCGGTGTCTCTCGCCCCCGGGGGCTGACGACCAGGAGGGTGCAAACTAAGAGTTCCCCCGAACGACCGACCTCACCGCGATACCGCAGACCGTATCTGGCGGCGCGGCGGCTCGCGGTGCCTCAGAAGCCCGGCGCGCTGTCCCGTCGAATGACGGACGGCTGCCGAGCTGCGGCCGCAGCCGCACCGGGCGCACCCTGGTCGACACGCATCATATTTACGGCCAAATAAACGCCACGGCGACCGGCTGAACGGCCTGCAGCGCGCCGTAAAACAAGGCCGCGGACACGGACGGACATGCGGGGCCGACGGGGGGTCCGTCACCGGCGACCAGTCGGCTCCAGACGGCTCCGAACGGCGGCAGTCTGATGGATGAACGGGACGGCGCGTCCGTGACGCGGCACATGCGGCCCGATGGATCACGGAGCCGAGCATTCATCAGCCAGCCGCGATCCGGCCAGCAAAAAGCCCCCTGTCGCTCTGAACCGCGGCGTCATCCACGTGCCGAGATGTGCGCGATTGGTGCACCAGAGACGCTGCAGCGCGCCCGCCGCCGCCGCCACCCCGCGGGCGCAATGCAACAATACCGGGACGCCGGGCGGCGAACAAAGAGAGTCGTGGTGACCGTGCCGACCGGCCGACCGCCGAAGCATATTTATCACCTGTATAAATTTTCAGTGTCTTCTGAAGGCTGACACTGGCGGTCAAAACGCGTTGCAATTAGTGTGATTTACGACCCGGCATAACGAGCCAGATTCCGCCGGCTGAGGCCAGATCGGCCGATAGCTTTGTGGCCCGGACGCCGCCGGCTACGATGAATGGACGATTATGCGGCCGTCCCCGGGCGCATTTGTCTTGGCGGCCGGCGCGGCGGCGGCGGCGGCGGCGGCGGGGCGGGGCGGCTGCGCCAGTGTCACCGAGCTGGCCCCTCCCTGGCGACACCCGGCGACATCCTTGGCCAATGAGCGTCGCCGGCCGGCGGCGGCGACCAATGGGCGCGCTAGGTGCGCGCTGTCGCCGGCCGGGACATCGATAACGGCCGAGGGCGACACGCGACTCGCGACCGGCGCCAGGTGACAGCGGCGGCGCGCGCCGCCCCCGCCTCGGAGCGCCGCCCGCGCCGCCCGCCGCTGCGCCGCCGCCTCCGGTGTGCATGTAGGTAAACAAATCAATACGGTGCGCGGCAGGGGGCCGCCGGGGCGGACAGAGGGGGGGGGACGGCACGGTGGGGAGATGAGCGGAGCGGCCGCGGCCGAGTGCGCTCGGCCGCCGCGCCGTCAGCGCCAGGCGGCCGTTCCCATATTTACTCCCGTTTAGTCGCCAGGTGATGTATGGTGCGGTCAAATGGGCATCCATTTTCTCATATCAGCCATGTAGATTGCGTGTAATTGTTTTCGGCGACAGAAAAACGCTGCGCAGGGGCGTGGGGACGCTGGGACAATGGACGCCCGGTGCCGGTCCCGGCCGCCACAATGACCCGCCGGCCAGGTAAAAAGGTGGCGATTGCACCGATTGGTCGGCGCCGGCCCCTCTCTCACGAGTGCCGCCGAGGACAGAGCCGGGGAGGGACGCGCAGAGAGGGGTGTGTTGTGGCGAGCCGCCGGCTCCCGTCCGCCCCTCTGCCACGCACCGACGTGTTTGTCAATCCACCTTTCCAAGATGGCGGATGACGGATGGGCACGAAATTAATTTTGTGAACGCGATCTAGAGACACATGGCATATCATTTCCTGCGGTAGGCGCGTCGCGGTAAAAACACGCGGCCATTATGAATATTAATGCCGCCGGCACTCTGATCTTTATTCAGAGAGGCGCCGAGGAGCATTCTTCCCGAATGAGCCGGGAGTGTAGCTGCTCCACCTTTTGTCTGGCGGCGTCGAGCCGTGGCTGAGGTGACCCTGCAGCTCCACGGCCGCGGGCCGCCGCGTCTGGGCCCACGTTTTTATCGGCTCGTGACGGGCCGATCGGCTGGCCGCGCTGAGAGCTGCACCGGCCGACTGCGATCATTATCGGCGTGTTGCAGCTCTCCGGCCGGCCGCCGCCGAGTCGGCCTGGGCGACGGTGATGAATCGTCCTGCTGCCGGTGCTAATTGGCCAGAACGGCGTGTCGTGGCGGGCGCCGCCGCCGTGTCGACTCAACGCGGCTCGGCGGACACGACTCAGACGCGACTCGGGCGTGACTCGGATCCGGCTAGATCAGACTCGGACCAGACTCACAAAGGCGACTCGGCCTTCACTTAGATTCGACTCCGTGGACCCGACCAGTCCTGACTCGCGAACTCGACTCGTTCCCTTTTTACAGACCCATTAGCTATCGCATCCTCAACTCAGTCTCCAGACCCTGAGACACGCCAATACACCGGTAGCCCTCTGCACCAGCCCGCTATCAACTCTTCACGCTCTTCAACTCACCTTAATGTAGCCCTGGACGTACTCTTCACGACTCCAGCCGAACGCGCGCAGGATCTGCGCCACGTCATCATCAGTGAGCTTGGTGAACAGCTTGTCCAGCAGGATCTTCAGCCGTATCGGCACCGCCTGACAGCCGAACAGGATGAGCGCGGCGATGTCGAATATGGCTGCCGGGGTGACCGGCTCGGACTGCAGCGGCGGGAACGCCGGCTGGCGACCCAGCTTGTCCAGCGCTGTAACAGAGAGAGAGAGAGACACAGGGTTAGAACGATGCACCAGAGATACGACATGTTAGAGAAGAGAGTAAGGGACACAAGTGTGAACAAGCACGGCAACTGAAGCATATAGGCGAGCAGTTTGTCAAGATATGTAGGGTTGATGTCTTACAGATTATTTCCAACGTGACCCGCTATCACGCCCTGCATTCAAAGCAGGCTTACTGGGCCTCTGGCCGTTGACCGTAAGCTGCTCTGAGCTGCCACTCCTGACTGGCCGTCACACAGGGGGCCAGTGTCCGAACCACGGCTGACGACACCGGTGGACGCTGACCACAGGTTCCTGCTGCCTTTACCGACCACCTGCGTGATGCGCTCCTGAGCACGCCACCGCTCCACATGCAACGGCCAGCGGCTGGGAAATTACACAGTTCTGTTCGGAACGGACAGTATGTTGGACAAAACCGGACAGCCAGCTTTATCCAGCAGCCGTGCTCTATCACGACTTTGCCGGACAAAATGCGCAGTAGCCACAGTGTAAGACGTCAGCTACCGGTCAACAGCCCCGCACAGTTATCTAATCCAATCTCGCAGCGCACGACTCGGAAGACGGCGAACGTGCTCTATGCCGCGCCACCCTCCGTCCTTCCGTCCCCCGCGCTCTCAGTTTCCGTTCGGCTTCCACTCCCTCGCCGCTGTCCGCCGGTCGTTCCCAGCGAGAGAGCTTCCGCCAAACAACTAATTACGTCAGTGAGTCGATCGCCAGCAAAAAGTCCGTCTCGGTTTCGGCGCTAGCCGGCCCTGTCTGCCGCAGCGGCTCGCTTACTCCCCGCGCGGCTCACACATAAGCTCATCTCGGACCGGCTGAGCTCACGTTAGCTCATCTAGGACCGGCTCAGCTCACGTTAGCTCATCTGGACACAGTCCATAACGGCGGCAGGTCGGTCCGATTTGTAATTACTTTCAGATCAGACCGTCCATCAGACACTCAGCCCCAAATGGACGCACAGACACACATAAAGACACGTCAAGAGACCGAGACGGGTTGGTGGACTGGTGACCATGGAACAGGCCCATAGCGACAGTTGACTGGCAGTGACAGTAAGATGTTTGTGATACCTATACCTATCATAGATATGAAGTACCTACCTTATATATGAACCATTGTACGTGAAAACTTATCTAATGTTTATAAACGTTATGTTTTCACTTCTCATATCGTTGCGCACTTACCATAATCGTTTTTAAAATAAATGATATCATCAGTTGCTTGCATGACATGCTTCCTCTTTCAGTCACTTTAACCCTCGCCCGCACATGCCATTTTCCCATCCTAGAACGCACATGGGGGGGGGGGTGGTTGCCACCCCCCCCCCCGCGCCATTTCGTTCCTGTTGGATATAGAGCTTAGCAGTAAAGACCAAAAAGATTCTTTGGGAAGAGACGAATCCAATGATACCCAGTTTTACCTTCTCAGGTCAGTCATTGACCTTCCAGGTCAGGTCAAACTAAAAAATGTTGCTGTTTTGGGTCACCGTTGGATATCAAGTGTGCTGCTTATCAAATACCGATGACGATGCTGTTTTCTGGTGCCAAGCCAGCTAGAACCTCTTTGTCACACTACCCGACCAGAATTTTGCTGCTGAGGTCATTTCAGGTCAAGTTAGGTCAAGGTCAATTATATGTGTTTGTATGTCTGTGTGTGTCTGTGTGTATACTGATGTGTGCACCGATTGTTTTTGGGTCCATATTACATGAAATCATGATCTGAGAAGCTTTTACCAAAAATGCAGTCAAAAAACTTCAAAAAAGTAAATTCAGCTTGCCTAAAACGCAATTATCTTAGGTGACCTAGGTTGACCTTGACCCTGACCTTGACCCCTGTACATCGTCGAACAACATGTTCCATGATAGGTAGGAGGTAAGACTGGCAAAAAAGGCCGAAATCAGGGTGTCAAAAGCTCATAAGGCCCATGGCAAACGCAAGATGTTGAGAATTGGCCATTTGGGTCATGACATGACCTGAAAAACAAGGTAATATCTCCGAAACCAAAAATCACAGAAACTTGAAATTTTCAGTGGACATCAAGAAAGGATAGAGGAGCAGCTATACGAAAAATCAGCCTTCTAGCTTTAAAAATGTTGAGTGCAGAGCAGAAAGACTACCTGGGGGGGGGGGGTGGCAACCACCCCCCCCCCCCATGTGCGGGCGAGGGTTAAAACCTGTTAGCAGTTTTACACTCACTGGACCATGTTTTGTCCGAAGTTTGTGGTCGATGACCGCTCTCGGCCCAGCAGCGGGCGCCCTGACACATTCCGGGCACATCTGCAGCGGCCGAGTCACGCGGCTGGCCGTGCGCGCAGCACGCCACCGAATTATATCTTAATTGTCGGCCGTTAATTAATGGTGCGCGGCGATTATTCGCTCGCGCAGATGGCGCGGGCGGCGGCCGATGTGCGCCGGGCCCGCCTCCTCGGCTGTCCGACTGTCAACCTGTCAAAGGGCCGAGCAGGCCGCTGGCCATCGAGCCGAGCCGCGCGCTGCCCGCGGCGCACCGCCCGCCGCCTGCGTGACTGCACATACAAAAAATGACAAGTTATGAATGTAAATGCCGCGCGGAGCGCACGTACAGTGCCAACCTGACACCAGATTGATGCGATATAAAGTGGATGTTTGGGCTGGGTGATGACTGGAATTTGGAAAGTGTCACGCCGGTCGCGCATCCATAATTCATGGCGGATCGGGAAGACGCATGGCCGGCCGGCGGCGGGCCCGATATGGTGCGGCCGCGACCGGCGCCGCCCGAGCCCATAGGTGTCCGGCCGGTCCGGCTAGGCGACACCTGGGCGGTGAGAGTCACGGCACAGCGCCATGGAGCTTTGTCAACCTACATGACTCACGGATGTGGAGTGACCATGAGTGACCAGAAATGGTCCCAGCGGTCAAGAACAACCAGGAACGGTTCTTAGCGACCTGGAGTGGTCACGTGAGCGCCATTATGGCGTCTGGACTCTGGAGTCCATCAGTCTATCGGCTCGCCGATCGGAGTGGCTGTGCAGAGCGCTGTACTGGGAGTGGCTGCACAGAGCCCTGTACTGGGAGCGGCCGCCATCGTCGAGCGGTCGTACTCGTCACGACATCAAGTCGCCGTCGCCGCCGCAGATCCTTTCTCCTCGGCAGACGGCGGGCGGGCCAGGTGTGGTGATATCAGGACAGAACCCGGCCGCATGCCAACACGACAGCTCGGCGCGGTGCCTGAGACACCGCAGATGCACAACCAGGGCGGCAGACCTGGGATGGAAGGCACTGGCGCGCTGCATCGACAGCTTTCCATTGTCAGCCCAGCACCCGGGTAGGACCCCGGTAGTTTCCTGCGAATGCGTCCGTACTCGCGGGATGGGTTCGATGACTCACCGGGCCAGGCGCCGCCGCCAGCGTCAACAGTCGATGACACTCTGATGACGGACGCGGTACGATGACGCCGGTCGCCGGCCGCAGGCGGCGGGCCAGCTGCCCTCGTCGCGGCGACGTTTGACAGCGCGACCCGACGGCGACCTGGGTCTATTGCTGTAGGTGTCAGCCGGGCCGGAATCAATGGCCTTCCGATGGCAGTCGAATGGCAGGCTGGCGCGGCGGCCGGACAGCGACGGACTGGGCCGTCGACCGCGGTCACAGATGGCCCAAATAGACACGACGACAGCCAGACAGATCGGCGACACGACGGCCGGCTAAGATTGGCCGCGGGTGACGGCGGCGCCGGCGGTGGTGCAGCGACAGAGCCCTGGGAGACGCCTGGCGGCCGGCTCGCTCGCCCGCCCGCTACACCCGCCGCCTAATGGAACTCGTTTGTTGCGAGTGTAAACGTTTGTCATATGATATAGCGGCTCGTTAAAGTCATGATAATACAGGGCTCGTTGTAAAGAACATGCCAACAGCGCTTTCACGAAGTCATTCTGTGTCGTATCACCTCCCAGGCAGTAGCGGGGTGGCGGGGTGGTATAAATCTCAGGGCCGGCCGGTACTCGGCTGGGTGGGTGCCTCGGGCGGCGTTACCGGTCCGGTGTTAATTGAGGCTCCACGCTTGCCGCCGATGACCATCTGACTCCGTTGAGCGGCTGTCCTCCGGCGCCCACCGCCCGCCGACACACTGAGAAAAGGCGTCACTCCGCGGCGGGGGCGGGGGCGGCCGTCACCGCTCGCCTGCGGCATTAATCGGGCTCTCTCCAGCTCGGCGCCACTGACGACGACGCCAGTCGAGCCGACCAAACAAACCGAGCCGAGCGGCCGAGCACTGCGTAAACAGCCGAAGCCATCCGTCTGCCGGCCGGCGACCTCTCTCGTCGCCACCGTCTGGGCCGGCGGTGGCGGCGGCAGCGGCGTTATCGGCCGGATCGGCACGACGCTGCGCCCGCGCGCCCACCGTTTCTCATACATCAGAGCCAGCATGTAATTAGCGGCGCCCGGCCGAATTATAAACGAGCCGCGAGCCGAACGGCATTCCGCCACGGGTCGCGCCGGCTGTAATTTTCCGACTTTATCGCCACCCGACACAAAAACTCTGTCAACCGGCTTTATGAAACATTGCCAGTCGACGACGCGGAGTTGCGCCCTATTACGTAGGTATGTGCGGTCATGCCGGCAGCGGTGGCATTGCAGGATAACCGACCACAGGGAGGGGAGGGTTAGGGAGGCTCCGTAGCTTGAGATACGGCCGGCCGCAAATGAAACCTGCACGCCTCAGCTCAGACGACCTCCGAACCGGCAGCACGATCGGATTTACCTTCAGCCAATCATGGTCACTGAATCACAGAGTCACCGAGCAACGCACGACTGTCATTTAACATAAAAAACTTTGGAACGGCGCCTCATAATGTAACGCCACTTTGTAGGTGTGAGGCGTAACAGCAAATTACCTCCCTTGCTCTGCAGTCGCGACTCGCGAGATGACGCAGGTGTTGCGGCGCAGTCTACCTTCAGGCGTAACTACTAGTGCCATCTAGGGACAGTCGTATAAGGA